ACTGTTTGGTTTTATTTACTATGTATTTATTCCTATTGAGATCAATCGATCCTTCTAATTTCCTCAAGAATTTACTTAAAACTAAACTGTGAATTGTTCAATAATACGACAAAAAGTGTTATCGATAACATGTAACCTATGCAGTGATGTATGCTACTGATATCGAAAGATATTAGTAGTATGTAATATCAATCAGTAGTGAAAGTTAAGAAGATCGAAGGAAAAAGAACAAAATGTGATGTGGAGTGGATATGAAAGCACAATGAAGTCTAAAACAATTGATTGACATTTTTCAAATGACGTATTTATGTATGGTTCTAGGAGAATTACAAAAGCCACCATCCAGAAGATACAAGTGATTACTAACAGTTATCTATGCAAAATATTTCACATCTGTTGGCCAGACACTATCAGCAACAATCTACTGCGAGAAAAAGTAGGATTAAGGATAAATGAACTGTCATTATGTCGATCTTCTTAACATATTTTTTAAAGAAATATTCTTCAGAGGATGGAGAAATTTGAACACTTCACATCCGGCTGTAGTTTGTACTGATGATATTGTAGAGAAGAACGATGAAAGCTTCATGACCAAATCATCCAGCTCGGAGAACAAAACTCCATCAAAAAGGAAAATATTCTTCAACTTAAGATTTTAGTTGAAAATTCATTTGGAAATATAAATACTTAATTATCATGAGCTCATTATGATTAAAACAGTTCGAGTATTGTAGGATAAGATAGAGAGTGTTTAGCAGTGGAATATAGTTTGACGCGCGTTTCGTTCTATTTATGAATCTTCAGATGCTTATACCTTCGTGACCAATTTGACGTTCACTCCGGAATTTGAATCAAGTACCGTTTTAGTGGCTAGTTGATCTGACTCCAATCAGATCGTATGAATGTTTGTCATCGTCTATCCTCGTATATAATCATCGACTTTAATCGCGTTAGTCAATGACGGAATTAAGTAAGTCAAATAATAAGAATGGACTTTTGAATACATATATTTTGTATATGTAGCGAATAGAATAGAGAGATGCGCTGTGAAGATTGCGGGTAAACCAACTCTTATTTAACCAAGCGTTAATCAATATTTATAGTTAAACAAAAATAAATTACAGACATGTGATGAGTAATGGGATAAGAAGTATACACCCACCTATGCGCTCATATAAAATCAGCCAAGATTGATAAGCGAATAAATAACAAGGTCAGAATGTAACTCAAGTAGAATGAATAGAATGGGCTGTCCGAAAGCAAGAATAAAGTTTATGGGCTTAACATAATAATTGACACTAAACCGTTCGCTTCCAACACCATCGCACTATCTACTATACTGATGAGACCTGATAGCCACTTGCTTGTACAACTGGGTGAAGTTTAAATTCGCTCAGTTTAATTGAATCTTTCCATTCTTATTTAGAACCGCAACTGATCAGTATCTTGTTGACATATGTACGTACTGTGTGTATTGCCTCGAAACTTCTTTTAATAACAAGCATTGTAAACAAAGGTTGGCAGTGGATAGTAGTGGAATCCAGTGCGAGCGATTTTAAACCTCAAAGGGAAGATTCAAGTATATAAAATCAAGTGAATTTGCTTCAAATACTGGTTACAAACTAACCATTATATCACTTATTATTATTATTTATTATTTAAACACATAATAATTGGTGAATGAGGCACGAAATATATATGCGTCACATGAATCATTCGTTTTGTGAAGGCTAAGTTACTGACGGAGTGCCCAAAACAAAACAGGCTATCTTCTTATGGGATCACACCAGGAGCCTTTGACCTACAGGTTTAATCCACAAGGTAGTGGTACAACATAAAGAGATGAGTTTACATGGCAACCGGTTACTGATAATTGGTTCATATATGCCACTTGTTCACTCAGGATCCTGGAGTCCCTGTACACCATTGGTTTGGAATCAGGGTTTTCCAATCCTGTAGGTGGATTCTCCATACCCATCAACCCGGTTAAAGCATCAGTTATTCGCTTTTTGTTCTTTCAATCTCGTGAAAAACACCACCACTGCGTGACAGCAGTGAATAGAACTTCCTTGTCATTGGTAGTATGTACGTGACCAAATGAGAGTATTTCTTAAGGGAGAGCTAACTCTCCCCACTCTCGTTCGTATTAGGGCATTCAGGGGGGCTTATTATCATTGATTATTAACAATACCGCAACCTTCTCGATTATTCAATTATGAATATAACATTTTTACAAAAAATGTTATTAAAACAAACAACAGAGGCAAATGTCTTGGAATTCCTTCATATTAAACTAACCTTATTTAGTTTACATCAATTAGATCTATTCAATTGTTCAATTAATTATGAAATAAGATATAAAACACAAAATGGAATTAATGAAGCAATCAACCTTTTTAGGCTTCATTAAGAAAAATTTGAAGAAGACAAAACACAATCAACTCAGATTTTCATGATAAACTAATTTACATCTGTGACCGCACTCATGGAGGAGCATAGGCCATATCAGATGTCCTGGTATGGTCGAGAGTGGGGAGAGTCTGTTCTCTCGGTCTCGAAATGCTCTCATATGGCCACGCGTATATAGCCTCTGCCAAGGAAGTTCTACTCACTACCTTCACGTGGCGGGGATGTTGTTTACAAAATTGAGAGGACAATAAGCGAATGTCTGGCGCTTTAACCGGGTCAGTGGACACGGAGAGTCCACCTAGGGGAGTTGAAAAACCTTGATTCCAAACCAGTGTTGCACATGGTGTATGAAAAAATCGTTGGTCACAGACTACCATGTGACTGCATCTCCTTGCAAAGCTCTATTGCCTTGCAGAACAGACCTTTAGATCGGAAGTTTGTAGTGTGTCCCCCTCAGAAAAATACCTGCTTCGGTTTGGGCACCCGGGCAGTATCACGGCCCCCACACAAATCTAATGAGATTTGTGTGGCGTATATTTATCTGGTACCCCCTTTTATAAATATCTATGTGTTCAAATAAATAAAATAAATGTTCAGAATAATGTTTTCCAGTTCTTCCCAGTTTCCATTCAACTTTTACGTGTGTGATTCAAATTCTTAACGTAATGTGTCATTTGACCTTACACTTTTCCGTTTCTATTCAGAATTCCAAGTTAGTGATTGATTCATGATGCAGTTTGATGATTTCAGCAATGTTTTTCTCATACACTTTCAACATCTTCTCCTTATTCACTCTTCAGCTTGAAGAGTAGTTTGTCCTCTTCCAAAATCGGCTGTTGCTAATGTTGTCAACATCAACGGACATTGAATATCCTACACAGACAATTGTTTATAAATATTTGTACCTTTTTGACGATGATTGTGCTAGTTCTGGGCGTTTCAGCTCCATAGACTTAATTTATCTTGACGTTCGTATAAACGATTCTGACTTTGATATTAGTTAACAGACAGTTATCTTTAGTTCCATATCGTCTTAAAATCCAAGAGTGCTGTCCTTGTTTTCCCAATCCTCTCCCTTACGGCTGTGTGTTACTTTTTCTTGGTTTCACCAAAAGTATTTGGTATTATTACAACATAAACTGGTGAAATAGACCATGGAAATAATGAGAAAAATTTATTATCTAGGTGAATACTTTTAGCTTAGCGTTTTGAATGACCGATTTCAGGTTGAAGCAAGTTCGCTTAATGCTTTCTGAGGTCATAAAGATCACCTATGATCTCTGTGTGGTGATCACTGTCATGTATGTCAGGTCTTTCTTGGTGCAGACTGAATTTTATCGAACAAGTTACAATGTGACCACTCATCCGAGCGATTCTAAATTGTATGCACTATGTTGAGATACGGTCTCTAACTGGGAAGATAAATGATTCGGGAACGAATCTGTTAAAAAGTATCAGTTCCCTCAAGATAAGAGGTACACTTTGATGACAAGTGCCAAATATCACGAAACCTGAATCCTTGATTTCCTGTTGACTACTTCCAACCACCATCTTACTTTTGAATTAAACTATCAATATTAGGGAATCCATTGTCACTGAAACAAAGTAGCAACTGGCTAGAGTGATTTTATTCAATCTGGTTCTCAACATGATGTATTGCAATATACACGGTATGGTGTTCTCCATGAATAACTGCATTCAATCGAATATAGTTTATGACTTTACTGATTTAATTTTGGTACCTATCAGGTTGTATCCACAAGCAGTAATTCATTATAATTAGTTAGATTTTAAATGATTCCATGTTTACAGTATAGGGTTGTAGAGATTATCACGTTTTGATTGAGATCATGAACCGTACGATGTTTGATCATCATTGAATGCATGTAAGTACTGAATGGCCGTTTCGGTTTAGTATGGGACTCCTCAAAATGGCATATTCACGATCCAATTATCTAACCATGTTAATATCTAACTTCAATCCTTCTTTTTATTTGTTATGAAGCAATTGCTAACTTGATTTTTGTTTTTCTTTCTGTTTTTCTTTACCGGACGATTCAAACGTTGCATCATTTTTATTCATTAAATAAATTTTATTCTAACAAAAAGGAATGAAAAATTAAAAAAAATAAAGAAAATAAGTGAAAAGAAAAATCTCTAATGGAATCATGCATTATTTTCGTTTATGTTATTGTTGTTGTTTTCGTTGAATAAATTTCCCACAAAGTATACTCTTAACATCAATATAGATGCTTATTCATGTTTATTCTCGTCTGTTTCCCCACTTTTTTCTCTCTTTTTGTTCTAACTATCATCGCCCTCATCATGACCAACACCAACTCCACCACCATCACCAGCATCACCACCCTCCGCCTTCAGGTTTTCTTTTTTTTTGATTAATTTTTTTCATCAATAAACATTTTCTTCATAAGGTTAATTCCCTTGTGGAGAAATTTTTCAACAATGTTAAATTTTACTTAGAGATCTATAAATTTGATGATGAAAAGTTTATCAGATATAAATTAACTTTCATAGATTTTGAACATTAATAAGTCAATACTAATACTATGACTATTACTAATATGAAGACGATGAGAACTACGACTAATACGACGATAGTAACTACTACTACTACTACTACGACTACTACGACTACTACGACTACTACTACTACTACTACTACTACTACTACTACGACTACTACTACTACTACTACTACTACTACTACTACTACTACTACTACTACTACTACTACTACTACTACTACTACTACTACTACTACTACTACTACTACTACTACTACTACTACTACTACTACTATTGTAGTGAATGACAACACACGAGACGGAACAATCAAATGTTTTTCATTACAGAATTACGCAATCCCTTAGTAATATCTGAGAACTATACATTAAGAAAATAATGCCTTTATTCGGTCTGCACTATTAAGGGCTAGACACGCATGGCATTGATCGCCACTCAGTGATCAATCAATTGTGATTACATCTCAGTCTCACAGGAGGTCAGTCGCGGCTTGGATAGCTCAGTGGTAACGTCTCTGATTGTGAAGCTGGGTGACACGAAATCAAATCCGCCAGGGAGCATAAGTTTCCTCGAGATTACAGGTACATCTTACTGATGAGTTCCAAATAGCACGAAACCCGTGTACAGGGTTTCCTGTCGACTACCTCCAACCACCATCTAATCCCAATATATAGTGCCCGCAGTGTCGAGTCATCTAGATTGGTGGCCACATTGCAACATGATCGATAGAATTCGGTCTGCAATAATAAGGACTAGACACTCATGACATTGATCGCCACCCAGTAGTCGATCAATTGTGAAAATCTGAGGTTCATCAATAATGCGCATCGACGATCCTGCACATGTGATTAGAAACCAGGGTCTTCGACTTCGTGTGTGAACACTTAACTTATGAATAACTGAGCTGGCCAGAATCCAACAGTGTTAATGTGTACCTGCAATCAATCCATGAAATTGTGCTACCATCCACCATCTATAGAAAATTAATACCACGCAGTGTAAAAAAATTGTCAATGACAAAACTAATCTACTTAGTCTTATTAATCTTAATTGTGAACGTTTTACTACTTACAAGTTTTTAGTAGTTCATTTATTGTAATCAAAGATGATTCATGTAAATCCAAGCATTTCAATATGAAGTGCGTTTGATTAGACTTCAAACTAGGCATAATCCACTGATCAAATAATCAAGTAACACAGTGGAATTGGAACCGAAATTATTTATCTGATTAGTGAAGTCTATTTAGTAACAGTTGAATTCTCACAATGGAGTTTTCCATGGTTGTCTAGCTTTAATTGATCCATGAAATCAACTATTAAAAATTACTAAAGTATCGTCGAAACTCCATCTGAATAATAACCATCATGTGCTCACTTGTGACTGGCTTAGTGAGGTATTTCCTGAAGTTCTAGGGAGAATTCGTGGTCAGTGTGGTTCAATCGTGTATGTCGTTGAGGCAGTAACTCAGTGAAAACAATGGTGGATTGTGCATTCTAATTGATTTAAGGCTCTTTCGCAGCAATAACTGTTTGTTGTGCATCTAACTTATTTGGAAAATAGTTAAGCATGTATATGACCCACCCAAATCTATATTGTTTGTTCAGTTTTTAAAATATATGAAGGATTTGTGTATCGTACATCTAGTAATTCAATTTTTCCGCTATCTTCAGTTATCCACATAGATTGATTTCAGAGAAACTATGTCGTGGATTCCCACCTCCAACTATTGTTGCCAGAACACTTTATTTACTTTGTATAATGTTATTCTCCTATCATTCGCAACTATTTATCTGGTATATGATGGTTGGTTTGACTCCAATTGTTCTTGTGTTCTTTAGATTGTACGGTATATATTGTAAAGATTTCTTTGGTTTTGTGCGCAAACACCTAGTTGTGGAAGACTCAAATAATTCATTTTTGTGATTTTGAAGGTGTTGTACACGTGGGATAGGATAATGAATCCACTCAATACATGTTTTGTTAATGTAGTGTTTACTGATCAGTTTGATAAGCATTTCCTGATGAAGTGTTAGAGCGTGTCCTGGTTTTCAATGTCCTGAGTATTTTCTTTGCGTTTTCGAATAAAATGACGATTCCAAAACATGTCTTCATAATTTCAAGTAGCAAGGAATGAATATATTATTGTCACGTGACAAAATCATGAATCGGAATCCCGACATTATTGAACTAAATCTAGTCATGTATATGTTCGGGAGGCGGTAGTTACCATGATTCAAATTCTTTTTAGACCTCAATTCCGTGGATTCAAACCCTCTCCTATCTCTCGATTTGAGAAGTCAGTAACAAACCTTAACTAACAATGTCTTACAAAATCAGACGTAATTCGCAAACAGACATATTAATTTCTAAAATGGAAAATATACATGAATCAGTTGGAAGGTGGTTATGATTGGAGTGAGCCGTAAAAAATAGACCGAAAAGGGATTACGGAATGATGAATTGAATAACAATATTGAGCGAGTTTTTGGAAAGATCATGTTAAATGAAGTCATCCTCTATATGTATCTCTATAATCTGGACACTTAATAAGTATACAATAGAGTGATAATCGATAGAAATTCAAAGAAATAAGCTTCTCTTATGTTATCGTTTTACATTCGACGTTGACACACAATCAAATTAGACATAGAAATTCACGATTTATTTTCATAACTAAAGAGAGATGGTGCCTAGCTGTGATTCATTTATGTGTATTCGATCGCAAACGCCTGGGTATCAAGATATTTTAAGTTGAATTACACTTTCACTAAAGATGGTAACATTATTCAGTTTAGGTGTTATCTAAGAATCTATATATAGTTATTTGCAATGATATCTACCTAAAGCACCCATGTATTTTGTCAGTGTCAAATGATACATCTTTTCTCTATACCATTGAACAGTATGATAGATGAAAGGTTGCATTACATCACAGGGTTGTGTAATGATAGAAATATTAGTGATGATTCCCAAATTCTTTGGAATTTCGTCGGAATAATATTGATCACATTGCCATATGTTGAAAGTAATCATTGGACACAAATCCTATATGATTTCGTGTACACGAAATTCAAAAACTGTGTTTCATACACATAATTCCCTGTGCAGGTCATTCATGTCATGTGTGATCCTGTTGCTCATCGGGAACAATAGAGTATGGTAGCAAAATGTTGTTGAAGAGTCCCATTGTTGGATGGAACGTCCGTTGACTGCTTTTAGTTTTTCAATGTTCGTCTAACATAGTTCGATTCACCACCTCAATTAATCATAATACGTGGAATATAAGTATAATTAGTAATGGTAGAAGTCAATGATGATTAGGAGTATTTGAATCATGGCATCAACTTAGAATCTCAGAAACAACGCAATTTAACTAAGAAGTTCTAGATAAGCATGAAAGAATGTAATGTATTCAAATCAAGCAAGCAATCACGTACAAAAAGAATCCTTAGTTCATACAAACACCACAAAGCAGTAAAAACAAAAGGAATATTTACAATGAGTAAAGTGTGTGTGTGTGTGTGTTTCACTTGTATGAACAGAAGAATATAGTATTGTTCGAGAATTGAAAGTAGAATTCAGACGGATAATAGAGGAAGGAAGTGAAAAGAGGAGAGAAGATAAAACGGTTAGCAACTAAAATGAGAACGGAAATGAAAGGACGATGGTGATTGTGAAAAAACAATTAAAGGAAGTTAGGCAAATTATTTACATCATGTACATTTTACACATTTCAGTTATGCAGTATGTGTATTGTCATAACTTAATAAATCTGTTTACTATTACCTACTCTCTGCATTAATTACAGATGTATTATTGTTAGTGTTGGTTGTGATAGATTATCCGGTAGTTGTGAATGTGATGCAGATAGTATAATGCGTAGTAATATGTTATTTGGCATTTCAGAATCTGTAGTAGTAGTTGTTGTTGTTGTAGTTGTAGTTGTAGTAGGAGTGTAGAATTATGGTCTACTATGATAATAGTAGTAGTGCTCTAATAATAGACTTGAACCTAAAATTGCAGATTTGTTATGATGTAACTGCCTACTCTTTAACATCTTACATGGAAGTCATTTTGAAACGTGTTTATTTAGAAGAGGTTGCACTTTTCTCGTTCTATCTGATGATAGATGAAAGGGAATAATTTAACTAACACTTCAAAGTCTTCAATTGAATAGTTCAGTATCCATACAACTTTGATACAATTGTGATCTGTAGAAATTATTAAATAAACGATAAGAGATTACATTCACTTGATGTTTTATTACTTGTATCTTCCCATTCTTATTTAGGAATGCAATCTATGGGTTCGAGTCCCGGAATGAACATCAACACTGCGATGCAGGTACATCTAGATGACGAATCCCAAATAGAACGAAACGCATGTCCTGGATTCCACTGCTAGCCACTATCCATCTTTGCTTGATAAGAGATTACATTTTGTGTTTATCCTAATGCTTTAAGATCCATTCGTTCATTACATGGATTGTCTGATTGAAGGAATATGTTCTATAGTGTAAAACTCCTGCAAATATAGAATGCTCAAAACAATGTTTGGGTACACAAATAAACGATTTGTTAACTCAGTTTCCATTAAAAATTACATTGTAATAAGTAGTCTAAAAACATCTATATAGAGTAGTAAGCTATTTCGTTAAGAAAATACAAATAAAGAAAATCCATTGATAAAATGACTTCAGAAAGGCAGTAGAGAATAGAAACAGCTCATTGTTTTCTTGATAACGGTTCAAGCGAAAATCTGCGAACGGTATTTGTTTTCGCTCCCAATTTCCCTGGTACGGTTGAGAGTATTCAGCCACTGTCAGAGAAATCCTACTGACTGTTTTCTCGTAGCATTACTGTTGTTTACAAAATTGAGAAGATGGAAAGCGAATGTCCGATGTTTTAACTAGGTTGCTAGATACGAAAGATCTACTCAAGGGATTTGGAAAACCCTTAATAGTACTGTCTTCATCTGTATCTCAGTCAGCTAATTTCACATCTCGAGTAGAAAGTCGGTAGTTTTAGTGTGATGTCTGTTATTATTATTATTATTATTATTATTATTATTATTATTATTATTATTATTATTATTATTATTATTATTATTATTATTATTATTATTATTATTATTATTATTATTAATGGCTTTATTCAATCTCGACAGACATAAGTAGTATGTATCACTAAACGAAAGTGGAATGTTTGGAGACAGAAAATTTGGAAAATCGAAAATAAGAGGACGAGAATGGAACACATACTACCAATCCCTCTTTCAGAC